TGATGAGAACAAGGAATATTGAGAAGAGAAATGAGATACTATGTTATAAGAATTTGGATTTTTTTCTGTAATTGCTTTATAATTATTACTATATGGGGAAAAAGAAGTTTATTTTTAAAGAATGGGGAACATGGGGTCAGTTAACGATTAGTTGCATAATGTACAACACAGAAAATAAATGACATTAATAAGCTTTGGAAACAAATGGTGGCTATCAATAGTCTGAGCACTGTTTGTGGAATGAGGGGATTAAGATTGAGAAATCTAGTAAACCGTAAAAGATATGTGTGTGTCTTAATTTGTAATCTCTCAAACTGGCTTGGAATCTATTAATCGAAGAGGTGGCTACTTTCTAATCAACCTGTTCCGAGCTTTTAATACACACCTCTGGAGCAGGTAGGACCTGAACCCAGATCTCCTGAATCAGAAGTAGGACCACAATTACTGTGCCACAAAAGCCTTAGAAATGTAGTCTGCAGAGTTTGAATCTGTGCAGGGAGAGCCCAATCGACTTCAAAACCATCACCTATACCACTCAGCCAGCACTACTGTACCACAGAAGAGATGGACAGTTAATTTGTAAAATGATACCTGTTAGACCATGAGGTGCAGCTGCCAGCATTTGTTGCCGGTGGTGCAGAAGCTAAGATGTAGGAGGCTGACCACTTCTTGAAGGTGGCCCACCTGCAGCAGCCCAGGGGACCTTTGGAGACAGAGGTTCCATGGATCAAAAATGATCTACAATTAGGAAGGCAACCCACATAACTTCAATGATCTCCCTGGAGGGGAGGCCTTCTCCACCTGACCATCAAGAATTTTAAATCTTCCCTCTCCAAGGTCTCCTACTAACTCAGCAGCACCCTCTTCTCTCAGTGGGATTGTTGAGGCTTCAGACCTGCTGGCCGTTTGATTGGGCCAGCAATATCAAAAGACACCCCTTCCCCACCCTTCCACTCCCTATGCCTTCAATTGGATTGCAGGCCTATAGATCCTCATTTGGTCCTGATGTCAGTGCCCTGAAGCTCAGTTCAACATAATTCACACTGACTTATAGGATCTCCCACATGTCGTCAGACATATTCTTCATTCAGGTAACATAAGTTCTTTCCATGCAGCAAGTTTGAGAGGGTGTTCTGCAAGAGTCAGAAAGTAATGGATATGTTATTGATTGCCCTCTGGACCTTGATAAAGTCAGCAACAGTAACTGGATGACTTTAGAATACTAAAGGCGATGAGTTGTCGAACAAAGAGATCTTGGAGTGCAGGTTCATAGTTCCTTGAAAGCGGAGTCACAGGTAGACAGGGTAGTGAAGAAAGTGTTTGGTATACTTGCCTTTATTGGTTAGTGCATTGAGTATAGGAGTTGAGAGTCATGTTGTGGCTGTACAGGACATGGTTGGGCCACTTTTGGACTACTGCACTCAATTCTGGTCTCCCTGCTATAGCAAAAGTTTATTAAACTTGAAAGGGTTCAGAAAAGATTTACAAGGATGTTGCCGGGGTTGGGTTTGGGTTATAAGACCTCTTACTTGTTGTTCATAAACTAACTCAAAAGGAGTGAAAACAGTAGACATGGTAGATGAATCCTTTGTGGCAAATAAGTGTCTCAATTCAAAGTTTTGGCAAAGATCTGTAGTTTGGGTTGTGGATGAGGGTGTTGACTTACTTGCTGAACTGGCTTGTTCTCATTCAGACGTTTCGTCACCATGCTAGGTGACATCATCAGTGAAGACTCTGATGAAACGGTGTTATTCTACTCCGCTTGGAATTTATACTGTTTGGTCTGTTATGGTGAATAGTGTCATTTCCAGTTTTGATCTGTATGGGTTTGTATATGGGGTTCAATTCTATGTGTTTGTTGATTGCATTACGGGTAGAGAACCATGCCTCTAGGACACCTCATTACCTCATTCTATTGCAAGCCCAAGGATAACCTCACAATGCTGCACTTCTCTAGCTTCCACCCTAAACATATTAAAGAAGCCATCCCCAACAGACAAGCCCTGTGCATACTCAGGATCTGCCTCAGATGAGGAAGAATGCAATGGACACCGAAAGGTTTGGAAGGATGCCCTGATAAGAACGGGATATGATGCTCAACTCATCGAATACCAGTTCTGACGTACCACAGCAAAAAACCGCAACAACCTCCTCAGAAGACAGATACAGGATATGAGTACCCTTCATTGTCCAGTACTTCTCCGGAGTGGAGAAACTACGCCATGATCTATACAGCCTTCAACATGTCATTGATGACGATGAGTATCTCGCCAAGATCTTCCCTATACCTCCATTTCTCACCTTCAAACAACCGCCAAACCTTAAACAGACCATTGTTCACAACAAACTATCCAGCCTTCAGGACAACATCAACCACAACACCACACAAACCTGTCATGACAACCTCTACAGGTTATGTCAGATCATCAACATGGATACTACCATCACATGTGGGAACACCACCCACCACATAACACAGCAGATACTCATGTGATCCATCTCATGTCTATCTCATGTGCTGCAGGTAAGGATGCCCCGAGACATGATATATTGGCGAGACCATGCAGACGCTACGACAACGGATGAATGGACACCATACAACAATCGCCAGTTGGGGAACATTTCAGCAGTTAAGGGCATTCAGCCTCCGATCTTCGGGTAAGTGTACTCCCAGACGAACTTCGAGATATACAACAATGCAGAATTGCCGAAAAGAGACTGATAGCCAAGTTCAGTACCCATGAAGATGGCATCAACTTGGGTTCATGTCGCACTTCATGTGACCCTACTATACTGCTCTATAGCTGTAAAATCTTCCTTACTGTCCTGTTTTGACACCATCACCTTGATAAATTGTTATGATTTCTCTACTTTAATTGGTTTGTACAGTTTTGAATTACTTATTATGTTTGGTTAGACCCTTGGCATGCAACTCTTATACCTATCATTTTATTCCAGTCATTTAGTTTGTCTCCAGCACCACGTTATTTTTAATTTGTTGTAATTATTTCTCTGTTTTATTTAATCAGATTATAATCATCCCTTCGCTGGTTATTCAGCTGTTGACACTTTACTCACCGTCTAACATTCTTTGTCACCTGCAAAGACTTTTTATCTGACACTCCACTCACACCATTTGTGTGATCTTTTAATCTCTCAGCCCTTGATCTCTCTGCCTATAAACTCTGTGTCTGTGTGCTCTTCTCTCTCACTGCACCTGACAAAGGGGCTGTGCTCCGAAAGCTTGTGATTTCAAATAAACCTGTTGGACTATAACATGGTGTTGTGTGACTTTTGACTTTGTCCACCCCAGTCCAACACCAGTCCTTCTACATCACTTGATATAATCATGGTTGATCTGACTTCAGCCTCGACTCCACTTTTCTGCCCTCTCTCCATAACCTTTTAATTCATTACTAATTAAAAATCTGTCTGTCCCCTCCTTAAATCCCAGCATCCACCATATTCTGGGGTAGTGAATTTCACAGATTCACAACCCTCTTAATCACTGATTTAAATCTGCAACTCATTATGCAAAAACTATGACCAGTTATATGCTTTTCCACACTTTTCTATCAGGCAGAAGGTGTACAAGTTTGTCCAACAGATTCAAGAACAGCTTCTCCCCCATTGTTATCAGATTTATGAGTTATATATTAGAGTTGATCTTTCTCTGCACCTTCTCTGTAGCTGTAACACTATATTCTGCATTCTGTTCTACTACACTGATGCATTTATGTAAGGTATGATTTGTCTGGAAACTCACAAATGTTACTTTTCACTGCATCTCAGTTCATGTGACAACAATAAACCAAATCAAAACAACTATGGGCTATTTCACACAGGTACCTCACTGCAACCTGAAATGAAAAACTGAAAACTGTATTCACTTAGATGGGCACTGGGAAAGCTATATTGGTAGTTGATCTGTGCCCCAGTGATTGTGTGAAGCTGGTACAGGTTCCTTTGTGAGCTGGAGTCTGCATAGGGGCAGCCTGTCAATCTTCAGAAATTATAGAAGTTCAGATGTATGATGTCATTAAATCATTTTGATACTATTTAAATGTCTAAACTGCTGAAATGGCGGATGGAGCAATCAGCTACCCCACCTAAATTTCAGCAGTAAGCAAAAATGGCAGAAATGAGATCCACCAATATTTGCATGCTATTTCTAGAGTTTCCCCAAGCCATTTTGCCTCAATGCATTAAAACCTACAAGAAAATTCAGGGCTATACAATTTAAAAGAATACAGTAATTTGTAATTAATCATTCATTGTGGAAGTATGAAAGTCATTAAAACATGTTTTTAAATCTTGCAGTAGTATTTGTAAATAGTGAGCTACTGGAGTTAGTTCAAGTCCAGGAGGTTTAGCAATACCCCTGGAGAAGGTATACAAAAAGTGGAAATTGGTCTTTATTGCATCCACAAGTAATTAAAGGGGATGACAGACCTATGTGCTTATCCCCCAAGATTTAAAACATTATATCAAAACCTAACCTGCTACAGAATCCAATGTTAAGGCAATAAATAAGACAGCCTGAGCTGAATAAGCTGACAGGGGAAGCAAAAAATTCTTATTTGGTCAGTTGATGTGCTCAGACTGCATTTTAAGTGTCATTCTAATCATTAACATAGCAACTGTGTGAAAAAGGAAACAACAAAAGTGAAGAATAACTTAGGAAAACACTGTTCACAAAACAAAAATATAGCAACAACAGCAGTCATGAAGTCATAAAGGTTCTACCCAGAAAGAAGATAGTGGGGAGAAGACTGGTACTAGCTCTATGAGCCTTAAGCTTTGGACAACAGGCAGAAAGAAGATAGAGACAAGGAAAATACTTCTCACAGTTCATTCAATTACTACATCAGGTGAAAATATTTGGAGCAAATATTCTTTAGAATTCAAATCGTTTCAGATTTAAAGAAAAAGTCTTGATGAAAATAATGAGCAATTAAATTACTGTCAAAATTATATAGCTGATTTTAGATTACACTTACTGTGATACAGCTGTTAGTAAGAGTTGCCATGTCATTGATTACAAGATGCTCAATATCACTGCAGCCAATTCCTAATGACCTAAAGCCTCTCACTGAGATCTAAAAGACAAAGAAAATGCATAAGAGACATAAAATGTATTCATGGTTTACTCAAGGTCACCTGATTATAGCAGATTCAGTAACGCGCCAATTTTTAAACAATAAACTGTACTAAATTGATCCCAGAATTTGCGGAGAGCCGAGAAAATTTAAAAAATCTAAATTGTACTCTAGTCAAGAGAACATAATTTCAACTTTTTTAAATTCATTCATGAGATGTTGGCGATCCTTCCAAAGCCAACCTTGATTGCCTATTCCTAATTACCTTCAAAATATGGTGGTGAGCTACTGAAATGTTGTACCATGTGGTCGGAACTCCTACGGTGGTGTTAGATAGGCGTTTCATGCATTTGAAGGAATTTCATACTGTGAAGGAATGGTGAGATCTTTCAAACTGAGGATGTTGTGTGATGACTTGGAGAGGAATATGGCTAGTGTTCCAGTGCACCTTCAGCCCTTATCCATGAAGGCAATACTAATCGAGAATTTCAGAGGTATTGTGAAGCCTACTGTACAAAGATGTTTTGCTGAATTACCATAGTGCATCTCGTAACTGGAAAGGTCTGCAACTGGATGCAATGCTGGTGGAGGGACTGAATGTTTAACATGGCAGGGGTTGGGGGTCCCAAACAATAGATTGTTCTGTCCTGGATGTTTGTTTTTGTATTAATTCAGAGGGTGTAGACTTTGCTGGCTGGGCCCGCATTTATTGCCCATCCCTTGAGTAGGTGGTGGTGATCTGCTTTATTGAAACACTGTCGTGATTTGGTGTAGGTCCACATACCGTGCTATTAGAAATGGAGTCCCAGGATTTTAACTCAGTAATAGTGAAGGGACACCAATATACTGCCAAGTCAAGATTGTGAGTAGTTTGGAGGAGACCTTGAGGTTTGGTGTTCCCATGTATCCATGTCCTTCTAGATCACAGTGGTCAAGGCTTTGGAAAGTGTTGTCTAAGGAGCCTCGGTGAATTTCTATAGTTCCATTTGCAGACGATATGCACTGATGCTACTGTGCTTTGGTAGTAGAGAGAGAGATTGTTTGAGGATCAAGTGCCAATTAAGCAGTATCAAGTTTCTTCAGCGTGGTGGAAGGAGGTGAATTAACCTCGGCAGGATTCTTAACCTCTGATCTGCTTTTGTAGCCACAATATTTATGTGGCTGCTCCACTTTAGTTTCGGGTCAATGGGAATCCTTAAGATTTTAGTAGCGGGGGATTCAATGATGATAATGTCAAGGGTTTACAGGTCATTGCCTGGCACTTGTGTGGCATGTATGTTACTTGCCACTTGTAGCTCCAGGCCAGGCCTAGATATCATTCACATCTTGCTGCATTTGGACATAGACTGCTTCTGTACCTGGAATCACAAATGGTGCTGAACATTGTGCAATCATCAGCACTCTGACCTTATGTTGGAGGAATGGACATTGATGAAGCAGCTGAGGATGGCTGGGCCTTGGACATACCGTAATGAATTCTGGCAAACATGCCCTGGAGCTGAAATGACTGATCTCCAGTAATCACAGCCATCGTCCTCTGTGCTAACTATGACTCCAGCTAGCAGAGAGGTTTTCCCAATGCCCATAAACTCTAATTCTAGCTTGGCTAGGGGAGTGACAAATTCTGCAGTGTAAGTCTTTCATACTATTTCTGGACCCATAGCCTTTGCCGTATTAAGAGTATTTAGCTGTTTCATAAAATCATGTGGGGTGAAACAAATTGGTTCAGGACTGGCATCATTGATGCTCAGAACCCCTGCAGGAGGCCAAGATGTGTTATCCACTCAGCACATCTGGCTGAAGATTATTGCAAATGTTTTTGTCTTATCTTTTGCAGATGAAGTGTGCTGGTGACCCAATCACTGAGGACAGGAATATTTGTGAAATCTTCTCCTCTGTGGCAGGCAGACTGGTGAGAATTAGGTCAATTATCTCTTTTTTCATCTTGTTCATTTCCTCACCACTTAGCTCAGATACACTCTAGTAGATATTACTTTTAGGACTGGACCAGCTCAGTCAGTAGTAGGGCTGCTCAGCCACTCTTGATATGGAATTGAAGTTCACCATTCCAGAATACATCTGTACCCTTGCGACCCTCAGCGCTTCCACTAAGTGATGTTCAACATGGGAGACTATTGATTCATCAGCTCAGGGAGAGATATATGTGATAATCAACAGGAGGTTTCTTTGATCTGATGCCACGTTTGTTTGTATGCCACTGTACTATCACCTATACCAGGTCTATCTTGCTGGTAGGAGTCATAGATGGTGATGACGGTTTCTGGGCCATTATGTATAAAATGCAATTCCATGAATATGATTATGTCAGGTTGTTGTTTGACTAGTCTGGAAGACAGCTCTCCCAATTTTGGCACTTGCACCCAGATGTTACTAAGGAGGACTTTGCAGGGTCGACAGGTGATTCGGTTGATGCCAGGTCATCCATTTGGTTTAATTTCTTTTTTTCTGAGTCTTTTTCATGGTTTGATAAAACTGAGTGGCTTCCTGGGCCATCTCAGTTAAGAGTCACCTACCTTGCTGTGGGTCTGGAGTCACATTTAGGCCAGATCAGATAAAGGACAGTTTTCCTTCCCTAAAAGCGCATTAGTGAATGATGTGGGTTTTAAGACCATCAACAATAGTTACATGGTCATCATGAAAATTTTTTATTTTACTTTTACTATTTTATTCACTTTTAATTTTAGATTTATCTTAATTCAAATTTCACTATCTGTCATGGTGAGATTAAAACCCCAGAGCATTATCTTGGACTCTTGATTACTAGTCCAGCAACAATACCACTACACCATTATCTCCCTCCTCAGGAGGGTGGCCAATGTTGCATTTCTTGAATGTTGTTAGAGCATCATCCATTCAGGCAAGTAGAAGTATTCCCTCACACTCCTGACTTGCGCATTGTAAATGATGGAAAGGGTTTGACAAGTTAGGAATTGAATTGCTCTGCACAGAATATGCAGCCTCTAATCTGCCCTTGTCAAAGTAATTAAGATATCATTGAAGTGGAAAAGGAACCACCTTTTTTGCATTATGGGTTTTGGTAGCTTTCCTTTGACTGTTATTTTCAGCAGATGAAATGGCTATTGCATATTTAGAAATTTTTCCAGATTGTCAACCAGTTATGCCACACATGAGATACTGAGCCAGTAATGTTTTTTCCGATAGTTTCATTTCTAGCTACCATGTTAAAAACAGGGCCAATGATTACAAGGTGTATTGTTGCTTTAAAATTAATATGATATTATTGAAAGTAATACAGAGGAAATGCACAAAAGCAGGAGTCAGAAGAGTATAATCTTTGGGAAGAGCCAGGAAACTCGTGGAGATTACAAAGCTCTCTTCTATACTAGGAAAGTGAAAAAGTTATTTGTTAGTATCATCTACATAATTCATATAATTATGAATACTGATGTATCTGAAAGATGTCCTATATGGCATCCTGGAAGAAACCAGTTTCATAGAAGCTAATGCCATAATGACCTTCATAGTCAATGGAACAGCTGTCTCAGTCAAGGATGAGCCACAATTTCCTTCAATTAAACACTGGAAAGAAAACCGGAGATTACTATCGGTGCCTCACCCAACCCCCCAAGAAGCATTCCGTTACCACTTACTCCACACCCACTCAGGCAGAACCACGCTGTATAAAATCTTAGCATCCTGTTCAATACAAAACTAAGGTTCAAATTTACATCCTGTCCATTACTAAGATTGCTAACATTTATTTTTTCATTTGCTTTCTCCAGTCTTACCTCAGCATGATTCACTGCTAGCACTAAAACAATGGCTTTGGAGTGCTCCTATAGATTCTTCTCACCTTAGCCTAAACTTCTCCAGGAAAACGTCTGAACATCAAAGGACAGTCATGCATACATACATAGACAGACAGGCAGATACACACACGCACACACACACACACATACAGACGTGCGTATATCTACATATAAATACCATATATATAATTCATGGGGTGGAGAGTTCTGTAAACTGGAGGATTTTACAGCAATATGATGGAACTGGGCACACTCATCCAATGGGAATAAACCAGCAACATCCAATTTAGAGATGGAATCCAAATAGGACTGTGTGTACTGGGGTTCAAACCCTTCATCTTCTGATTTGGGCAAGAATGCTACCACTATGCTAAAAGCTCATTGCATGGAAACCCATGATCATTGTGTATAATTTACACTTGTTGCAAAATCTGTGCATCACAAGATAATAATTCTTAATATATCATTTTTTGTTGACTGTCAGCTTTTTGAGTCTGCAGGTAAACTTTTGCTAGACACCATTAGGTGGCATTTGTGTAGCATATTCAAAGTTTCCAACATTATAAGCAATTTCCTGAAAAATATGCAAAACCATCAATCAGGTAATGAAAAAAGTGAAAAAAAACACAAAAGAGCTGCAGGTGCTAGAAATCAGAAACAAAAACAGAACTTGCTGGAAAATCTCAGCAGGTCTGGCAGTATCTGTGGAGAGAAAGCAGAGTTAATGTTTTACATCAAGTGAACCTTCCTCGGAATGGATTCAAACACATTCTAAAGAAGGGTCAGTTGACCTAAAATGTTAACTCTGCTTTCTCTTCACAGATGCTGCCAGATCTGTTGCATTTTCCCAATGAAAAGAAGTGGTTGGGAACAGCAGGGAGAGAGCAAATCTATAACTACATTACAATGTCTAAATAGTGAAGCTCATGATACTTCTTATCTCTCAACTTATTAACACATCATACCATTCAGAAATCCGGTAAGAGAAAAACATCATCACATCAAGTCATATTTGTAAATCACATTTGCCTTGTTTATTCTAGTTCACAAAAAAGTCTAATCAGCAGATCGCTTGGAGTACGCTTAAGGGGTCAAGAAGCTTATTTCCTGCCTGCTCTTGCCATGATTAGTAAATTCTAATTGGGTGCTTAAATTCCTGAGAGCTTTCCATCACGCTGCTAATCAGAGACTACTGACTCCATGTGTTTGAAAGTTTTTGTGGGTGTTGTAATTGACAAAACCTGGAAACTGGCTTCCTTGTTTTTTGTGGTAGGAATGTGGAGTGCATATCGGAAAACATCGTATTCAGCCTTTCCGTTAGCGTAAAATATTAATACCTATTATTAGCATATTAAAGACAAATGAAAGAGATGGAGTGTAGATTTTGGGGACTTTTTTTTCCTCAAGCACATTTTCAAATTCCTTTTCCCTTCCTCAATAATTTCAAGCCAAAATACATTACCCACCATTTATTGAGATTCATACGGATGGCGAAGCAAATTGTTAGATCTAAGATTTAAACCAAATATCACTCCATCAAAAGTGTACAACTTTACTAAACCAACAACATAACCAGTTGAACCAGTGGGCTTTAGTATTACCAGAGAGTGCCCACTTGATGGACTCTGTTTACTCTGGTTGGGTGGGGGTGGAGTGTGTGTTATTTAATACAATAAACTTTGGCAAGTGTATCTATGAGGGTTCAAGCAATGGATCCAAGTGTGCTCAACATACAATACTTGCAATAGTAGGTGCACTACCTAGACTTACTAATTACTGCTGTCCAGTCTGGGAGTAAGGACATTTCTACATGGGGGATCCTCATTCTTGACATCAGAAATCTTGTTTAGATGGATTAAGTTTCTGTCCCAGACAACACTGCTGGAAAAAATGAAATCTTTCATGTCCAGTTTAATGGTGGGAGTGTCATGAGAAGGCACAGGCCTTTGGCTGCTAAAGTTGCAAACAATCATTACTAACAGACATTGAATAAAAGGGGATATATTGCTTTAACAACCAGACAGGATATTTCTGGCAGAAGAACAGCCTGGAATTCTGCCAAAAGCCTGAGGAAACATTTTTTTAGGCAGCTGGGATTCTGTAACTCCACACCAGTTCAATTCCCCTCCCCCTTCCTCCATTATTCACTCTGCTGCTCTGCATGAGAAACTGTAAACCACACAGTTTCTACTAACAGTATAAAGTTCTGAAGACTAACCTGAGTACAACCTGAAATGTCCAGGTAGACGAGCTTGTGGCAGCCCTTCCCTGTGGCAAGGTAATTCAAACCTTTATTTGTGAATTTCTTTGAGTAGGCTAGGCTCAGATACTGTAGATTCAACCCAAACCTTAAAAGAAAGTAGAGAGTTTCAATACAAGGAAAGCTAGTCAAGATACCTATTGTGTAAAGTTTCTTGCTGGATTTTTAAAGTTGGTGCTTTTGGCAGCATAAAATCAGACACAGAATGCTTTTGAGTGATGTAACTTCTATAAGTGAAGCATGCAGATAAATTTCCATTGCAGTCCTTTGATGTCGTTCACTTAAAACTTCATAAATAAACAGCTATTGGAGCAGATTTTTCAGCTAGCTATTTTAGTTTTAATCAGTACTATAATGGGCGGGAAGGAAAAGGGAAGGACAGAAGTGTAAATTGTACATTTTATTGCATTTATAAAGCAGCAAAACATTACTTAAAATCGGTTTTAGAACAAAGGTTCACTCTTGAAATATATGTACTATCATAGTATTACATTTGTTTTTAATTAACCCAAGGAGAAAGCTTGTGCATCTGGTACAGAGCTAGTCTGGTAACTATTGAGCTTAATGACATCCAGTAATACTCGCAGAATGTTTGTTTCCCATTCCCTCCGAGGAAAACCTTCGATATAAAATCATTAAAATAATGGAAGTTCCAAGACATTGATGAATGCATTACATTAGATTTATCAGCATTTGTTCTAAATTAATCCAAACATAAAGCCTGTGTAACTAGAACCATTCAAACTATTGGCATCATGTTCTTTTCATCATTGGTGCAAATATTTTGTGAGACAAAGTTGTTAATATAGTAAATGTTAATTATTTTCATGGTGCATGTTAATGACCCAATTTGGCAAACTTGAGTATTGAAATGAAAGTGGGAGCTATTCATCACAATGTCTAAAGTACTGTACTTGCAGTTAGAGGCAGATTTCCAAACATTCTCAAATGTCATTTGTCTTCACTCTCTTAAAATTCAAATTATATTTGATATTAAATTTATATTGTGCAGCCTCCTTGTGTAAAGGAATTTAAGATATTTATCTGATTGTATTACTTTAGATGTGGTGAGATGAATTTTTATCAAGATGAATTTTTATCAGCGCAGAAAAAAAAGTTACAGTTCCTTCCACTCATCATTCAAGTGTACCTATTGACAGATCATGTACTTCATTGATATCATTTCTAAGAAGTAAATATCTTAGTTAAATTATATAAATGGCAGAAAATAAGGAAACGTATGAAAAGTGGGAAAAGAAGAGGTAATGATATTCTCTGAGACAAGTTTGCTATTGTTGTAAAGATGTGTAGTAATTATGTGAGAATGGTGCAACTTACTTTGATAATGATCTCAGTGTACCGTCACTAATAGTAGTGTAAGCCAGGTTCAGGTACAGAAGCGAAGTACACATTTCCACCACCATAGACGCAAATTCATCCTAAATAATGGAGGGAATCATTCAAATAGGTGAAAACTTTAAAAGTAAACATGCATATATATTAAGTTGCTTGCAGCTTCTGAATAAATCCAGTAAAGATTTGCTTAAGGTACATTCAGATTAAGAGCTACTCCAGTTTCATGCTTTGTAAATTTCAGCTGTTTTCATCAAAGTGCTGAATTTTTATATGAATATTTTATAAATATTGCCTTTTTTAACAGGACATCTTAGGTCACTAATTCTGCAAATCAGTGTAAAACATCTTGGAAAGGATAACACGTCAATATATGCTTAATTGTGGCTTATAATACAAAATGCTGATGTCAGCTTTGTGTTTGCATGACACTTAAGTGCTCTCTTAGCTAAGGAACCCTCGTTTTCAAAAATTATTGTTCTAATACCAGAAGGAAAGTACAAGTCCTATTTTCAGAGAATGGCTGGTGTTTTTGTCAGCATTTCAAATGGCTTCTAAGATTTTCCAAAGAAAGCAACCAATTCTTAGTAATGATATAATGGTATCCCTTAAGGACAAGTCAACAAACAGCTATTGTAACTACTACAGCAAATTTTCTTTAGACTTTGACTAAAACAGGCAGACTGAAATTCTTGTAAAGCATACAGGATTTTAATAACTTGACAGATTAATAGTTCTATAGACATTATCCTTCGTCCAAGAGCATTGAAAACTATTCCCAAAGAAAAAAAAGTCTCCCACACTGCAGGTTAAGAGATCTTGCTGCAATGTAAATTGAGCCCATTTGAACTTAGCACTGACCCAAATGTGATCTGTCAGAAATTGAGACAGGACATCTGGATTGGTCTGCCAGTTTGGCAGCATCAGGAAGTCTCCACAACACTGCAAAATTGCTTGCAATGGTCTCTATTCCTGACCCCACACAGTTACCTTTGGTGTCCCCCAAGGATCTAGCCTTGGCACCTCTTTATTTGTTTCTGATATGCTGTCCCTCAATAACATCTTTTGAAGGTACAGCATTAGTTTTCAGATGTACACTGATGACAATGGCCTCTGCCTCCTCATCACCACTCTTGATTCCTTCACTGTTATGAAATTTTTAAGCTGCATATTCGACATCCAGACTGGATGAGCATAAATTTCTTCTGATTAAATATAGAGAAAGGTGAAGCTGTTGTTTTTGGATGTTACTTAAAGCTCCATTCACTAGTTACTGATCCCATCCCTCTCCCTGGCAAAGGTCTGATATTAAGAAAGAACATTTGCAACCTTGGTGTCATAATTGATCCCAAAGTGAGCTTACTATCTCATACCTGCACATCACGAAGATCTCTTCTTATTCCCACCTCTGCAATACCACCCAGCAACATCCTTGTTTCAGCTCATGTGCTGCTGATATTCACATTCATGCCTTTGTTACCTCTACACGTCAACATTCCAATACATTTCTAGCTGGTCACACATTTCAGTTCTAATAGTAGTGGACAATTTAATGACTAACAGGAGGAGGAGCTCTATAAATGTTGCCACCCTGAATGGTGGAGATGTCCTGCACACTTCAGCTAGAAATGCTGAGTGGATGATCCTTCGTTGTGTCCTTTTGAGGTCCCCAGTATCACAGGTAACAATTTTTTGCTAATTCAATTTGCTTCATGTGAGATCAAGAAATGGCTGTAGATATGGGATACTGCAAAGGCTACGATAATGTTCTGATCATAGAACTCAGGACTTGTGCTCCAAAACAAAATCTCATTCCTAATCAAACTGTTCTAGTACAACAATAACACTAGCATTTACTGTAAAGACCACATCTTCTTGTTCTTCTTTATTTTGGATTGTGGACCAAAATGATAAATGACTACTTTAAACCAAGGAGTGGAAGGAAATGCTGCACCTTTTAAAAATTAATTACTGGAATTCATTGAATTGTGTTTCCAGAGTTGCTTTGTTCAAACAATGAGGTAAGTTGTTTGAGACACAGGCACCACGGATGGGTGTATGTTCAGTCCCTTCGCCCAGGGACGGACTGCTGGCTGCAGTTTTTGGGACCAATTGTAGAGCCCAGGAGTCATCAGCATAACAATGACTCCAGGGCAGGTGGACAGTGTGTGTCTGAACAACCTTAATGCGGACGACGTCCAGACCGCAAGAGACAGCATCACTCTTCTATTCATTTCTGCAATGAAATAAC